TAGCTAGGATTATGGGCATGTGCCACCACACCTGGCTAAAGTGTTTTTAGTAGAAATGGGGTTTCAACATATTGGCCAGGCTGGTCTGGAACTCCTGACCTCAAGTGATCTTCCTGCCTTGGCCTTCCGAAGTGCTGGGATTACAGACATGAGACACTGCTCCCAGCCTAAGCTATTTTTAAATAGCTTATTTATAAAGTACGCTCTATGCTTCAGGTCAAACATTTATCAAGGATCTGCAATATGCCAAGAACTATACAGATTTTGTTACCTAATTTTAAAAATAAAAGCAATTTTAAACTAAGACCCAGAGAGATAACAGGATCTATATAAGAATGCTTGAAATAGTGAAAATTGCCCTGTATCTGGAGGTTTATTTAGTTCTGCCACTATGTCATGATTTCTAATGTACAATGCACCCATGCAAGTGGTTTTAAATTATTTCATAGGTTAAAGGCCTTCTTAACAAAAATGAAAGAAAGAAAAAATTTTAAATTAAGTCCTTACTCGTGCCAGGACCTGTGCTAAAATAAAATGTGTGTGTTTGTATAACTTTTCTCATTTAAATCTCCTGAAACCTCTACGAGATAGGTTCTATTATTATTCCCATTTTACAGATGGAAACATGAGCTTAGAAATGTTAGGTCATGGCCGGGTGTGGTAGCTCAGGCCTGTAATTCCAGCACTTTGGGAGGCAGAGGTGGGTGGATCACAAGTTCAGGAGATTGAGACAATCCCGGCCAACATGGTGAAACCCTATCTCTATTTTTTTAAAAAATATAAAATAAAATAAAAAGAAAAAAGAAGAAAAGAAATGTTAGGTCACTAGCTAGAAATAATGCAGCTAGTAAGTGACAGTTATTTGAATAGAGACACACACACACACATACACACACAAAGTATTTGTATACTCTTGTATCACAGATAATAGAGGGAATTTCAATATGTAAAACAATTCAATTAGTTCACAATTTTACTCAATTTGGTACCTACGATTCATATGCTTATAAACAGAAAATAATAGGAAAGATCAATCAACAAACACCTGAGAGAGAGGGAAAAGGCAACTTCATTTCTCTTTTGATAAGATTCTAAACACCACAAACAGGAGAAAACAGCCAAATAAAAAGTTAACAAATCCGTAACTTCAATCTTCAAAAAGGGTAAAGTGTGCCTTTAACAAGCAAAGATTGAGAGAAGTCCCATTTGGGCACTCCTCACTCCCGCAAGTGAGAGAACTGTTCTCCTTTCTTCTGCCTATTAAACCTCCTCTCCTAAAATGCACCTCTCCCCTATCCCACCCAAAAAAAAGAAGCAGATTTAAAAGGTTAATAGGAAAAGACTACTTTATCACATTTAGGTTGGATGTTAAGTCATAATATTTACTAAGGTCCACAGTTGACTACTTTACTACACAATAACCCACCCTGGACTGATGGCTTCTTCAGGAACACTGAGAGAATGTAAAATACAGGAATCCAGATAATCCTGCATTCTTCGAGCATCCATTATAATCAAGCTGATGTTTTTATCCATCATCATCGTGTATAGTTCCTTTGCTGTGATTGCTCCTTGGAATTGAGAGAGACAGTATAAGTTACAAGAAACAGCACAAGATGTGCTGACATTATAAAATATACGACAAACAGCTTTTTCTAGAAGAGCAAACTATACTGGATAAATATGGATATCACATATTTACTACCCCATCATACCATTTAATATCTTGTAAGCTAACATTAAATATAACTTGTTTTTTTGTTTTTTTTCTTGAGACAGGGTCTTGCTCTATCACCCAGGCTGGAGTGCAGTGCCATGATCCTGGCTCACTGCAACCTCCACCTCCCAGGTTCAAGTGATTCTCCTGTCTTAGCCTCCCTAGTAGCTGGGAATATAGGCTGTTACCATGTGTGGCTGATTTTTGTATTTTTAGTAGAGATGGGGTTTCACCAGGTTGACTAGGCTGGTCTGGAACTCCTGACCTCAAGTGATCCACCTACCTCGGCCTCCCAAAGTGTTAGGACTATAGGCATAAGCTACTGCACCCAGCCTTAAGTTGTGTTTTTAACACAAGTTAACACAAGAAACCAGTTTAATGCTCTGTTTATAAAGACTTAAAGATCAAAACTTTCTGTTGTGTTTATAGCTACATCTGGTATTGACTCTGTTACCAATATAAAATAAAGGACATTAATATGTATATATTAGGAAAATACTATGTTTTTAAAAATTAAGACATTAGAAAAATGCTAACTAGTAGAAAGAAACATCTATGGTTCTAAAATTCTGGAAAGGTTCTAAATTCAAAAAGTCTCCGATGGTAGTCTCATGGTAGCTACCTGAAAAACTTAAGATTTCCAAGTATTCTTAGAATAACAAGTCAAAAGCTTGCTCTTCTATATGAGACACTGAAAAACTATGGCCATCTGTTTTTACTGGATAGCTGCCACACTAGTTTGTTCACATATTTTTTCATACTGCAACAGCAGAGATCAATAGTTGTGTCAGAGACTACAGGGCTCTCCAAGCCCGTAAGATTCCCCAAGCCTAAAAATGTTTACTATCTACCCCCTTAAGAAAAATTTGCCAATCCTCTTTCTACTTGACGTTCATTTGTTAGCTGCTAGTCAGAAGGATAAAAGATTATTTTGTTTTTTAAGAGGACTAAGAAAAAGAAAACTAAGTAAAGCTAATGCAATATTTAATTTATTTACTTTTAGGGGAGGGCAGCCATCTGTCAAAATAAATATCCCTTATGTTACTATTTTTCCTCAGCTCTACTGAAGTGAAAGATTAAAAAGCACTACAAGAGAGCTGAGATATATAAAAAGCTGTCTCAGCAGTGAGCTGTGAAAAGAAGCCTCAATAGCTCCTGTGCTAAAAGACCTATTGCTGCTAATCATCATCCCCCTTCCTACTCTAGCCATCAAGAGTATGCTGACAAAACAGACTAAAAAAGTTGATAGCAAACCACTGAGAAGAACAACATTTATGTAGGATGACATACAAAGGAACAAATGCATAAAAACAAATCTTGGACCGAATCAGTAACAGCTTTTAGGAAAGTATCTTAGAGCACACCCAGTTTATTTTTATAATTGTTATATGGCAGTATTTTAAGTAGAGAATTTACTTTACTGTTACCTATAATTATGTTTAAGTTAAACCTTTTCTCCCATCCAAGTACTAACTAGGCCCATCCTGCTTAGCTCCCAAGATTAGGCGCATTAGATGGTATGGCTGTAGACAAGATAAACCTTTTCTGAGAGAGGAAAATGTCTCTAGCAGATGAAGAGAATTTCCTAAGTCTTGTTTAGGTCACATATTTCTCACTATAGCATCAAAACCACCTATGGATAACTTCCACATTATTGGTTTGAATTTGAGACAGGGTCTCACTCTCACCCAGGCTGGAGTACAGTGGTGTGATCACGGCTCACTGCAGTCTCAACCTTCTGGGTTCCAAGCAATTCTCCCAACCTCAACCTTCTAAAGGCGTGCCCCACCACACCCAGCTATTTTTTTGTATTTTTTGTAGAGATGGGGATTTTACCATTACATAGGCTGGTCTTGAACTCCTGGGCTCAAACAATCCTTCTGCCTCAGCCTCCCAAAGTGCTGGGATTACAGGCATGAGCCAATGTGCCTGGCCTGGATTTTTTTTTAAAGGGGGATGAAAATGACTCAAATAATTTAGTCTTTGACCACAGGATGGATGTAGGGAGAAAAAATTATGTCTACAACCTAGTCATAAACGATAAGTCCTAAAATTTGCCATGTATTCTAAGAATTTACATGTATTAGCTCATTCAATCCTCACAATAACCCTGCGAAATAGGTACTATTATTATCTACACTACAGACAGGGAAACAAACGTAGAGTGTTTTACATTCTGCAAACCACATAGAAAGGGAGAGGAGGAACCAGTATTCAAACACAGGCAGTTTGACCTCTGAGACTCCATGCTCTTAACCATTGTTGCTAAACTGCATCTTGAAAAGGAAACAAGTACGGGCTTTGGTTTTGACATTTTTCAACTGCATATTACCAGTTTGTCATGTAAGGTTAAAATTATTCATAAAATATTCCCCATGATAAATACATAAAAATAACCTCAGATATTTTCAATATAATCGTACAGACTAGAAAAAATGATAGAGCTTACATAGAGATTAGACAACAATGCTAAGAATCTAACTGTATAAAATCTGATGCTTATTCTGATTAAAAGATCTCAGAACCTAAACAACTTCCTCTTTCTGCACACACTTACCTTTCTCTTTGGTCTCACATTTTTCATTCTTTTCACCATTGTTCTATTGCATAGAAAAAAAAAAGTTTCAACTTTCATAGAAACAAAAAGTTCGACTTTAACTTAATTTACTTCACTTATATGGAAACTCTAAGAAACCAAGTACACGAAGTACTGGCATTTTATAAAAATGCAGATGAATAATGATATTAGAAGGTTTCTTTGGCAGTAGACAACAGCTAAAATAACTAGCAACCTTTCAGAATTATAGGACATTTCCTCAAAATTTACTTCAGTTAAAGACCAAATATTCTTTAACAGCACAAACTGCTACAGAAATTTAATTTGATCAGAAAGTACTTCTAAAATGAAACAAAATTCTGGCTATCCTATTCAGTGTCCTCCATGACATAATTAAAGCAAAATGAGGGCCAGGCGAGGTGGCTCACGCCTGCAATCCCAGCACTTCGGGAGGCCAAGGCGGGTGGACCACAAGGTCAGGAGTTTATACCAGCCTGGCCAAGATGGTGAAACCCCATGTCTACTAAAAATACAAAAAAATCAGCCAGGCATGGTGGCAGGCAACTATCATCCCAGCTACTGGGATGGTGAGGCAGAAAATTGCTTAAGCCTGGGAGGCGGAGGTTGCAGTGAGCCAAGATTACGCCACTGCACTCCAGCCAGGGCAACAGAGCAAAAATTTGTCTTTAAAAAAAAAAAAAAAAAAAATTAAAGCAAACTGAAGTAATACAAAGTACTCGACGTCCTGCTTATGCATTAATTCATTTTTTAGCAGTCATTATAAACTTAATTAGAGCAGTAGAAAGATCATTTGAGCTGAGCTGTGATGTATTACATCCTATGTCAAATCTTTTTTAACTACTCTGGGACTCAGTTTTCTCGTTTCCCAAATTATGTTCTTGAAATAGATTATTTTTGAGTTTCTTCTTTCTAATCAGGTAATCTACATTAAAAGAAAGATTCGGCATACCACTTTATTTGGTACCAAGCTTTTTATCTGTTTCTGGGGTCTCATTCTTTTTCCTTTGCTTTCTCCTAGTTCTCCCCCAGTTTCCCCTTTTTCTTTTTTTTTTGAGACAGAGTTTCCTCTCTTTCCCCAGGCTCTAATTAAGTTTATAATGACTGCTAAAAAATGAATTAATGCACAGAAAATATTGCTATAGAAATTCATAGAAAAATCTGAAATCAACTGAGGCTAGAATATTTATTTCAAATTAAATGTTCTTTT